AGAACCTAAAAGAGGCTGCCAGATGGCCTTGCCCGAGAGGGGCTCATCCCAACCCAAAAGGTTGGCGAGCACAGAACCCCTCCCAAGGTTAAGAGCATCACTACCGCGAAGAATCGAGAGTCGGGAGCACAAAGTCTGACTTGGTGCCAAGCATCCCGAGGGAGAGGGAGAAGGATGGGTTGTGAGGTGGCTGTGAACACGAGGCGGCAGAAGGAGAAGAAGTCACATTCGGCTGAGTGTGGGATGATAAATCAGACACTTCCCAGTCATCCTGGGGTGCAGCCTGCAGTTTCACTCTCTGCTCCCATGTTTCTCATCTGTCAGCCTCCCCCGCCTGCCAGGCTGCTCTCCCTGCCTCTCCCTGCGAGGCGATGCATTTCAGTGGCTTGAAAGACCTTTGAGCCGCCACACGGGACCCTGAGCACCGGCTTTGTTGCCTTTAGGAGCGAGCAGGTTTCCCCTAAAGTTCTTCCCCCGCCCAACCATAGAGTCTTGCCTCACCGACTGTGAGGCTCAGCTTCATTGCATCGCAGAAGGGAATGAGGCAAATGCAGCAAGAGAAGTCCTGGGCAATCTGTCTGGTGGGTCTGGGTGCCCCAGGGCAGCAGGGGTAGGGGCAGCCTTATTTGCAAGTCCCCATACGTTTGCGGGGAGGTGAGCCACCTCCAGGCTCGATTCATCATGCAAGTGGCTAGTCTAGTTCGCCAACCTATTCTCTCACCCTTAACTTTCAAAAAACTGACTTAGCTTTATGGAGGGACCTCTGGTACAGGTAGGTCCAGCTCCTCTAACATGGTTTCTAACCTCTCCCCATGCCTAATAAAAGTGGTGGCCATAGCAACAGCAGTAGTACTAATTGTAGTAGTAAAGTGACAGCAATCGTTGCTAAGGCAGCATATCTCATGTGCCAGACCCAAGGCTAAGCATGTGACAGCATCCACTCACTCACCCCCACAGGGATCAGTAAGAGGGTACCGGTAGCCTCTGCTTTCCATTTGAGAAAAACAAGGCTTAGAAAGGTTATTTGCCGATGGCAAAAAGTCAGGGTTGCAGCTAGAAGTGGAGGTTTGCCTGCATCCCTGGCCTACACTTTTAAGAACCTGGCTGCTGTTTGCAATTGCTTATTTTTGGAAACACTCTAGCTAGGCTGGTCATTCCCAGACTTTTGGATTTCATAGGCTAAGTGGTTAAAGAGCTTTTATTTTGCCAATTAAGGCAATCTCTCTCTTCCTCTCTCTCTGTGTCAGACATAATACATATTTATATAGAAACATGCATTTACAATTATATAATAATTATACATATAATTAAACACATTTAAGACATACACACTCACACATATTCTACTTTCAGTGGCCATCTCTTTATAAAATAAAAGGTATTTTTTAAAAAATATATTTTTATTGATTTCAGAGAAGGGAGAGGGAGAGAAAGAAACATCAAGGATGAGAGAGAATCATTGATTGGCTGCCTCCTGCATGCCCCCTACTGGGGATCAAGCCCGCAACCCGGGCATGTGCCCCTGACAGAAATCAAACCTGGGACCCTTTAGTCCGCAGGCCGACACTCTATTCACTGAGCCAAACCGGCTAGGGTGATGGTATTTTTAAATAACAACAATAACAACAGAATAAGAAAGTCCAGGAATTTATAATAAAGGACCTTACTTTAAGTAGAATATTTTTGCTCAATGGAAAAACATCAAGTTGGCCTTATTTTTCTCAGTTTATTCCAAATAAGAAAAGATTCAGTACTAACTAGGGAGCCCTTTGGAAACCGCTGCTCTAGCTTGTTAACATCCCCTCTAAAATTCGATGTCCAGATGCCAGCTCAACAGCTCGGGCTGCCTGCGTCCCACCTCCTATACCAGTGATGGCGAACCTTTTGAGCTCCGCGTGTCAGCATTTTGAAAAACCCTAACTTAACTCTGGTGCGGTGTCACATATAGAAATTTTTTGATATTTGCAACCATAGTAAAACAAAGACATATTTTTGATACTTATTTTATATATTTAAATGCCATTTAACAAAGAAAAATCAACCAAAAAATGAGTTCACGTGTCACCTCTGACACATGTGTCAGAGGCTTGCCATCACTGTCCTACACGGATATCTCCCAGTTCTCTCCCACACACCTGAGCGGTGTGCCTCCAAGGTTCAGAGATGAGGAACAGGCGAGGAGCGGGGCAGGGTCTGAGCTCCTGAGTCAGGGCTGGGGAGGGGGCCAACGGCTACAGCTTGACCTTCTCAACGGGCCTCTTTCATCGGCTGTGGTTTGAGGCCTGGTCAAGGGGGAATCTGTGTCTGCCAAAGAGAAAACCTGGCAGATGGGGCAGAAAGGAAGGGTCCGTGGGAATCTGAAACAACATGTTGTTGGCAGGAATCCTGTCTTGAACACCCACCCATCTCGGGAGGACCAGGGTCCTACCTTGGCACGATGGAGAGGGAAGGGGGTAGGCTCTTGTAAAGAAGAGCAAAGGTTAGCTGGGTGGTGAGAGGAATGTGGCTGGGAGGAGAAGTGGAAAGACCGTGATGGGGGAAGAGAGAGGCACGTGGGGGGAATGAATCACGGGAGGGAGAAAAGAAGGGAACAGGGTGCAGAAAGGGAAGAGAGTAAGGACAAGAATCAAGAGAACGAGCAGGAGGTATGAGCAGAAGAGGCGCCGAGATCTAAGGGAATTCCACGGAAAGAGGGCCCTTCGAGGCCAGAGCCGGGGACCGGGAGGAGTGAGGGAGAGTCACAGTCACGCATGAGGGAAGTCATTGTGGATTCTTGCTGAAAGGAAGGCTGAGGGCTGAGTGAAGGTGGGTGAAGGCTCAGAAGGGGAGGGTATCAGGTTAAAGGGACACTTGGCTAGCTAGCTCCTGGCTACAGGAAGGGTGTGGAGGCACGGATTGTGTCCACTGGGGCTGGGGAGGAAAGTGTCAAAGGAAATCAGAGACAAGCTGGCAAAGCAGATGGGGAAAGAAGAAACTGGAGCTCCATGGTTGTAAGTCAATCAGGGTGAAACCAAAGTCCTTAAAATGCCTCCAGGATTTGGTCCCTCTTACCCCCCTGATTCATCCCCCAAGACTCCCCACTCTGTTTCCTCCACACGGGCTTCTGGCACACCAGGCACACCCCTACCTCAGGGCCTCTGCACAACACTCTTCCTCCAGACATTCACTTTTTGGGGTCTCATTTACCTCACATCCTTTCCTTGCTTTTCCCATAGAACCTAATTTTATCTAATTTACTGGCATTTTATCTAATTTACTCTGCTTTGTTTATTGTTTGTCACACTCTCCCCACCACCGGAATGCAAGCACCATGAAAGCAGAAATTTTATCTACTTGTTGATGCTCCCCAAGTACAGAACAATGACTGGAACACAGTGAGCCCACAATAGATATTTGTTAAAGGAATGTATGAATGGACTAGTCAATGGCCATCGCTGGGAACATAGGGCATGCAGAGGAGGAAGAGGAGAAAGTGGAAGAGAAGGAGGAGGAGGAGGAGGAGGAGGAATTAGGCTGTATGATCCAGACAAAATTCTATGTGAAAGGCTGACTCTATCTATATCTACTATGACACCAAATTAGATGCAAGAAGCAGAGAAGTGAGGGAAATGTGTGTCTCTTATTTGGAGGGATTTTATCTAATGTTTTCAGAAGGAGGGTTTCATCTAATCATGTTTTTAATAAAGTCACCCAAAGGTGAATGTAGAAAATGAAACAGTTATTGTCATATAGCGTGATCTTGGGGTGAATGCTGACTGCCCCTCCGCTAGATCCAGAATGAGACATGGGCCATGTTCTCAGCAGAGGGAAGAGGGACGAGGTGGAGCTAGATGGGCAAACCTATGTTACTGGGAATTGGGAGATCTGTGCACACACACACACACCATCTTGTCCCCGCGTAAAGACCATCTAGAGGATGACCATCGGATCTGAAATGATGGAGGGCTCAGTCTCGGGCTCAAGGGCGTGGCTGTGACACCAGCTCCTCACCCAGGTTCTCCCCATCACCACCGTGCGGGCACTGCCCACGTGCTCGGATCGCACGCAGAGCTCACACAAAGCATTCTGCTCAGTTTCACAGTGAGCCATCGGGAATATGTAATCGTCGCGTTACTACAGAAGAGAAAACTGAAGATGAGAAAGAGCAATCCTTTTGCCCAAAGTTCTCCCCCTCCCCCCTTAGTAAAGGGGGGAGCCAGGGGGCTCCAGGGGGCTGGTCCTTCTACTACAAAGGACCAAACGGCATATCAGGCTGCTGGGCCGAACAGCTCACCCCTGCCTTCCCCGCACAGCCATGCACGGTGCGTAAACAAGCGAGCGTGGCTGTGTTCCAATAAAACTTCATTTACAGTAATAGGTGGGCTCCACGGGCCGTCACTTACTGCTCTCGAGTCTGTGCTTTTTGTTTGTTTGTTAATCCTCACCAGAGGGTATTTCCCCCCATTGTTTTTTAGAGAGAGTGAAAGGGAGGGAGAGAGGAGAGAGAGAGAGAGAGAGAGAGAGAGAGAGAGAGAGCGCAATGTAAGAGACATATCGATTGGTTGCCTCCCACGTGCCCCAATCAGAGCCTGGGATTGAACCTATGACCCTTGAGTCCTGGGGCTGACACTCTAACCCAGCCGTGGGCAAACTACGGCCCACGGGCCGGATCTGGCCCGTTTGAAATGAATAAAACTAAAAAAATAAAAGACCGTACCCTTTTATGTAATGATGTTTACTTTGAATTTATATTAGTTCACACAAACACTCCATCCATGCTTTTGTTCTGGCCCGCTGGTCCAGTTTCAGAACCCATTGTGGCCCTCGAGTCAAAAAGTTAGCCCATCCCTGCTCTAACCAGTAAGCCAAACCAGCTAGGGCTGGTCCATGCTCCTGAGCACTGACTGGCACAGCTGGGAAGCCTATAGCATAGCAGAGAGACCCCTGAGTGTTTTAACAATCAGCTCCCACAGCCCAACGCGGCCGGTTCCTGGAGAATTAGCTGAGACAGGGGCACTTACATTTCGACGATGCCCTCCGGCAGGTTGGCGGGGATCTCCGTCAAGCCCTTCCCCCTGCAGTCCACGATGTTGTTGCTGCAGGTGCAGGCCGAAGGGCAGGAGATGGAGTTGGCATTGCAGGATGGCGGCTCCGAGTGGGGGCCTGTGGGGCCAGAGCACAGTAGTCAACTTGTGCAGTGTCAGGAGCCGAATGGGCTCCTGGGCGCCTTCACTGGCTGCCCAATGAGGCGGCACTACACGGTCAGCTGCTTGGAAAAGGATCACCAGCGGGCATCATCCGCATCTGGTAGACACAGCTGCCTCTGGCTACACATTCAGCCAGGAGGAGAGATGCTGGCCTTGACCTGACTATTTCTGGATTGTTTCACCTGCTCTGTCAGCCGATCACCCTCATCTTTTAGAGAAAGAGCTGCTCTCTGAGTCAACCACACACAAAAACAAGCCACAAGCTGACCCTGGGACTACTGTCTCGGGTGCCCCATGTCTGGTGACCCCGGGCCGGGGTGGTGGTGGTGGTGGTTGGTGTTTACCTGGGACGTGGATGCTGAGTATAGGCACACCTTCATTCCTTCCTCTAGTGTCTGGAAGTCACTGTCTAAACCAGTGGGAGGAAGGGAGGCGGGTGCACATCCCCGTGTGGGGCAGTGGTGTTCAGGGTCAACACAGGCGTCAGCAGTGCCAGCCAAGGCCCTTTCACACAGCGTTTGCATACAGAGAACAAGCTAACAAAACTGGCCGCATTAGGAAAAGGCAAGTAAGTTACCTCGTATTTTGGAGTCAGCTCTTAATTTTGCTTCAGTCGAGAACTACTGTGAATTTAAACCAAAGTGGGAAAAACCCAAGAAATGGCATCTGAGGAGCTTACTCAGAAGGCGAGTGTAGATAAACATACGCGTCACAAACTAACGTGAAATTCCATCACTCGGATCTAGTCACTCCCTGTGGTGGTCACACTGAACCTCTAACACAAGAAGTGAATGCGAACGCTTTGAAAAGACAGCAGATAAGTTGCAAATAGGATTAGTTCTTCAGAGTGAGGTCAGGATCTCAAACTCGTGGTTAGTTTTTCAAATGTGGATACTGAGGTCCAAAAGGTAGACTCAGCCGAACAGCCCTCCTGGACCTTGTCCCAGGCCTGCTGCGTCCAGCAGGGCTGCTCTGTGTCTGCCCATGTCCCTCCTCCCAGAACAGAGGGCCCCGGGCAGCACCAAACTCAGAGTAACGCCGCAGACCTCCTCACCGGGCAGGCACAGGACGTGAGACACGGGGAAGGATGGTGGGAGTCTGGCCTCTGTCCCCGGGAGGAGCTGAGGGAAGCCGGATGGATCCAGCCACAGCAGTTGAATCACAGGACCGACTGGGCCTCGGGTAAGTCCTCCTTCGGACACTGAGTGAGACTTGACATGGAGGATCCGCCCGCCGTGCTCACTAGTCCCACCTGGGGGTGGCCCTTCTGCAGAGACTCAACTTGATGCCCTGATGCCAGCCCAGTAACCAAAGACTCTTATTTCCCTCGGCCTCCACACACACACACACACACACACACACACACTTAGAAAGCATCATCTTAGCTGAACACTTGAAAAAATATCCTGTCTAGGGTATAAGGACTTCCAAATCTCCTGTGTCACATTAGTGGATCCAGTGGAGACCGTGGAAAATGCCAGAGCGATGATGACTTACACTAAACCCCCAACTGCAACATTCATCCTCTCAGAGAGAAGGGACCCCGGCTTCGTTCCAAACTGGGAAAGGCTTTACTAGTACATTTCTGAGAAAATGGCAGCTCAGAGAACCAGCCTGTCGGAGCCGCGGGTCAGGAAGAGGAGGGCGAGTGGCTGAGAGTGTGGGCTCTGCAGTCCCAGTGCCTCAATTTGAATCCCAGTTCTATCACCTCACCCTCCTGTCCCCGTGCCTCAGTTTCCCCCATCTGTAAAATGGGCAGGGGGAATAGCAATGCGTATTTGGTAGCATGGTTCTGTTGGGAAGGCAAAGGGAGGTAATGCATGTAAAGTGTTTGGAAGAATGTACAGCACAGAGGCAGTGCTTAGGAATGCTTGTTGTTGTTAATGTCATTGTTATTCTTATTAATGTTACCAAGGATGGCCTGCAGGACCCGCTCTGAGCTTTTTGCTACCATCTCGGTGGATAAGGGTTTGCACTGCAGACTTCGGAAGTCCTTCCTGGGTCTAAAGACTGACTATTCCGTTCTTCAGAAACTGGAAGCAGAAGGAGTAAGACACCTCCCAGCACCTCCCCATCCCCTGCGCACCTGTCTTAACGGTGGCAAAGAGGACCCACCGCGTGAAGGCTCCTATCCCTCACCCACATCCTGAGGAGGTGGGATGCGTGGCCCCAGATGTCAGGGCTTTCACAGTACCGATGGGGCCCCCAGAGAGAACTGCCAGGCCTGCGCCTGCACACCAAGGGGCAAGCGCACCTGACTGTGCCAGCGACCATGGCCACACCCGGGCCTTCCTGTTGGGGAAATGCCAGGGCTCCTCAGAGGCGCAGCCTGGGCTCCTGCCCATCCACCGAGGGGAGGGTATCGGATGGCTGTCCCCCTTTCAATTGTCAATATTACGTGGTTGGGGTGTTTCAGAAGAAAGGGGGGAGGCATTATACTCAAGGGCTCATCTGGGTAACAGGAAGTTCTGAAATGGAGTTTTTCAAAGGCACTCAGACTCCGATGCTGGAGTCGGTTCTGTTTAAAGTGGACCAGGCTCCGGCCTTCGTCTCCTGGGAAGAAGCCGGTCCTACGCAGGGTGGCTCTGTCCTGAAGACAGCGTCAGCGGCTTTCAAGGGATGTTGTCAAGGCTTTTTAAAAAGCCTTTGAAAACGATCCTTAACAAGGTCACTAACAACACCTTTAATTACTCGGAGAGGTAATTATAGCCCCTGACAGCACCTGGCTGGCAGCGCCCAGTTGGGCATCCACACACAGGGAGGGCGTAGCTCCCCTGTAGAAACAGACAGACCACGGCAGGCTGAAGATGGTCAGCGCCTGATGGACCGAGCCCTGTCCATCTGGGCGCTGAGGGTGGAGCCGACAGAATCCCCTCCCCTTAGCTCTGCCTCTGGACAGACTGAGTCTTGATGTCAGTTCTACCAGGGCAGTGACCGTGTCTGACTCCTTCCTGTTCGACCCCTGTGCCTAAAACTGGGCTCGGCAGGAAGCACCGTCTCAGTACCAGGCCTTGGGGGAGCGAGAGGATGAATCATGGATGCAATTGGCGCAGAAACCCTTGGACGTGGGGATGAGAGGTCCTCCTGGTAGGGCCTGGGGGAGGCCCCTTGAGTCCCCAGTGCCTTGGGCTCTGGTCAATAGGGTCAGCCACAGAGCTGGAGGGGCTCTGGTAGATGGGACTCCCCTGCCTGGGGTCACAGGCTTTCTACCAGAGCTCTCAGTGCTGGCCAAGGCCACCTGCCTACCCCCAGCTCACTGGGCGCCTGGCTCACCCACACAGTCAGGGTGTCCCAGGCCCTGCACCAAACTCTGCCAGCAGGTCCATTGCTCCCAGCCTTTCCCAGCCATGCATGCTGAGGATGGTGGGGGGAGGGAAGGAGGCAGTGAATTCCAAGGGGGCAAAGTGAGGAACCCCCTCCCTTTCTATCCAGTGAATTCTATGACCACAAGCTGAGAAGCAGAGAGAAGTGGGAACGGAGTTTTTACATCGGGATAGGAAGAGCCTCCACATATCTTTCATGGGAGGGACTGTCTGGGTATGTGCCTGCTGCATGCACGTGTGTTCCTGGGGCCGAGGAATCATGGGGCAAGCCTGTTGATGGGCACCACCTCCTCCTCTCCCTTAAACCGGAGCCCAGCGATGGACCAGCACACGGAACCAGCACCGACGTTCTAAGGTGCTGGTTATGAATTCAGGAGTGCGGGCAGCCTGGCTCTGCATGCCCGCCTCCTTAACTGTGTGCCCGCCTGCCTCCTTAACTGGTGCCCTGAGCTCTGCCCTGCAGCTCTCCCATGGCGCTAAAGGCTGCTGCGTGGAGGCTGGGGGGCCATCTCCTCCAGACCAGGGAAACGGACGGGGATGTGGGCCAGCACCTGTCTCCCTACTGGGGCCTGGACCACCTTTCCCCCTTTCCACCACTTCAGCTCTGGGATTTTCATCTGAAGCCAAAGCTACCTCCGCGCCAAAGCGGGAGGAAAGGGAAGGCACTTGGTGATCGAGGGCGGGAATATGCTCCCAGCCAGAGCTCTCACAGGGAGAGTGCCATGATCGCCAGCCTGGACGGGGCATTGGCGATCCTGTCTCTGCTGACCGCACCCCCTCTAGTCTCGAGAGGCAGGAAAGGCAGCGGGTTGACCAGGGAGACGCTCCGGCCCAGACTCCCCCTCATCAATGTTCTCCTAATTGGCAGATGGGGATGATCATCACGCTGAAAGCGAAGGCCCTAACTTCTCTGCCCGGATGGTGGGGCAGAGGCCACTGAACTTTACCCCAGAAGGGCTATGGAGACAGTGAGGGACGAGGGACCGGATCCCTGAGAGACAGAGTTCTTCCCAAGGACACGGTGGTGCCCAAGCTAAAAGTTACCACCATTCTCCTAAAAGCAGCTCAAGGCTGTAGGATGTGTCCTACGTGCCAGAGACTGCATTAAGGGCTGTGTATAGCTGATCCCACTGGATCCTCATAAAAGCCATGACGGAGGCTCTGTTATCATGATTCCCATTAGACTGATGAGGAAATAAAATAACAGGGAGGTTAAGCAAACTGCCCAGCATGTGTTCTTACCATCATCTCTGCCAAAAGACAGCCAAGCGCCTCTCTTTAGGGCCCTGGAATTGAAGGCCCTCACAGCCTCAGAGCCTCGGGAGGTGGGAGGAGGAGGCTTGGCCGACACACGGCCGTGTAAGCCACAATGCAGTGGCTGGCACTCCCGTGCTGGGGCCGAGTTTATTTCTTTCTGTCTTTAAAGAGAATGTTGCCCAGAGGAGCGCACAGAGCTGACGAGTCCAATGGCCGTGTGAGCATGTGGAAACAAATTAACTCCAGCATTCAAATTAAGCATCCCTGTTGGCCTCTGGCCTTTCAAAAGCCAACAACAGGCTGTGATGACAATGGGACTCGAGCAATTATGATGAGAATATAAATGCACGCGATTCAAATGCCAGAGGCATGATAATTTGGGGAATGGCTATAAACCTAATAATCTCATCCTCGCAACGTCCAATTATGGGGTTTTAATTAAAACCTCCTAAGGAGATGGGCGGCCAGTCAGGCTTACCTTAATTATCTTTATACTTAGTAACTGGTCCCAAATTTAAAAAAAAGGGGGGGGGGGAGGAAGAGTTTATTGTTTCCAGGGAGATACACCCATTTCATTTTTAATAATAAAGAAGAAGATGTTTGTTGAGAGGCCCCTCATTACTAGAAGGCAAGATTAATCTTCCTGAAAAGGCATCTCACATTCAACGGCCGAGGGCAGATGAGTAGGAAATAGCACAACCGGATGAGTGCGAAGATGTTCAGGGGAAAGAGGCATGGTATCAGGAGTCAGATGTTTAACTAAGCCCCTTGATTTACAAAGGGGGGCTGGTAACACTTTCTCAGATCAAGGTACCAGAAAACTGACACAAGGAAGATAAAGCTGAGGGTGTAAACCACCAAAAAGCCCCTTAGGTAAGGACGGAATAAAACAAAACATCTTGCAACTCACATCACATGAGCCGAGTAATGGCCAGAGCAGAACCTTTTCTCTGGGCTGTTCTGTGAACTCAGACCCAGCCCCAGTCTGGCCAGGCCCACGGAGCAGGGGCCAGGGACTCCCCCGTCCTGCGCCCTAACCTTCCGCTTGAGCAAGAAAAGCTAACAGAGAAACCAAGCAGTCCAGTTGTAGATCACAGAAAAAACACGAATAGAAAATAAAATAAGATAGAGTCCCGCACTCCTGTGAAAAGTTCCCAGTTGATTCCCCAGAGGAAAAAGTAAATGCCTCCGATTGGAAGGGGACAGTTGACAGAGGAGATGGGTTTTGCCAAAGTGCACTGCTAGAGGATTTCTGGGTTAGCTGGAGTGAGAACGAGCCCGTGGCCAGGGCCGTGTGGAGAGGACTGGGCCCAGACAGTGCACTTAATTCTAAGGGGAACATCAGAGACTCGGGCAGGAGGCCCTCACAGGCCGAGACGAAAGCGCTCTCTTGTCTCTGTGGTCCTGTTTTTGACGGATTTTTTTATACCATCGAAGGGCCCGGGAGATTTTCTGTGCTGCCCTGACTGGTGCAGGTGATGGAGCAACATGCAGGGATGGCTGATTGGTGCCCCAAGTCTTTCTAGTCTCCTGAGCAGATAACCTCAACTTTTGAAGAGATATCCTTGCCCCCCCTTTATTGGTTGAAGTCTTCCTCCCACAAGTTATTGAGGGAAGAGCTTGAACGAGGACCTAAAACAACCATAATTGGGTCTGCACAAAACCACCTCATCTGGCTGCCCTGCTGGGCTCTGCCACGGGGTGGGGCCTGCACCCCTGGCAGTGTGCGTGGGGGGTGGTCAGTACATGAACACAGCCCTTCTCTGTGACCTTCCTGTGCACAGCCCATCATGCTCCATGCTGCTCCCTCTGAAATCCTTTCATCACAGCCTCCCAAACGACCTTGAACAATTATTAAAGAGGTAGCACGTTTTGGAGACGGTGGTCATCTGGCACCTCACTAATAGTGGTGCAGGTTCATCCATCATGGATGTTCAATGCACCAGCTCCCCCAGACCTTTAAGTCTGCTTTCGACCTTCCCAGAAAGAACCTGTACAGCGCTCTCTCTTCAACCCCTGAGATCCTGAGAAGCACCTACAGAATCCCTCATGGATTGGGGCCCCAGTATGGTGCTCCCCTAAACTCATACCATGGCGAGAGGATGGCGATCAATAGCATGTTCACGCCTGGAATCTGTGATTCCATGTCCTCAAAAGATGCCTAGCTTTGCACTAAGAAGCTGCAGGGACCATCACATGGGCCTTAATGCTATAATCAGGGGAGGTGACAAGGATGCTCCTATGTACCCATTACCCTGCCTGGGAGATCGAGTCGTTTCACGGGAGGGGGATTCGGGGTGCTGACAGGCCCAGGACCCACAAGGGTCAGCCTGCCCCCCTGGGCTCTGGATCCTAGCTGCTGCTGGGTAAGCAATGCCTTGCCATTCCTCAGACGGGGAGGTGCCTCCGTGATGAAGCACGTTCCCGATCTGCGCAGCGTTAAACTTGGCACCTCCTATCCTGGTGTGTTTTAACATTCTCTCTAATTAGTTTTCCTCATTAGCTCTTGGATGACTCCTGCACTCTGTAATTATTTCTTTCACTGGCACTTACGCTGATATTGTCTCCTCTGCCTAATAATTACTGTAATTACAGTCACTATATTTGAGTTTGGTGCTTGTGTGATAAACGGTTGTATTAAATGTGTTTGATGGGAAGTGATTTCTGAGTGGGCGTCTATAGGAAATTATTGAGGTGCTGCTCTGAGATACGTTCCAATGTTTTTGGATAATGAACTTGATGAAGTAGTGACATGACAGGAACAAGCAGCAGAGAGCGCGATGTGGCTGAATTCATGGAAAATCCTTACTAGATTGCAATCATGCCTACGGGCAGAAGTGCCGATCTGCACCCTGGCCACACCGGCCCACAGCACATGCGCCCCAACCCCTTCCACACTGAACAGGGTGGCAGTCCAGGAGGGCGAGAGTGCAGCCCCACAGTGCCACGTCTCCGCCCTTCTTCCTGCGCGTGGACTCCCCAAGACCAGCCTCCGGAGGCTGCTGGGCCCCAGCTCTGGGACTGGGCTCCCGGGTTCCAGGAACGCCTCTGGGAGAGTCATCTTTTTATTTTATTTTTTCTAGAGAAAATAGACGGATTAGCTCTACATTTTTTTTGCCCCTGGTAAAGGGAGAGTTGGTAGAACTAGAGGATGTCAATGAAAAGTAAAAAATGAACAAGCAAGCAAATTTAGGATGAGGCTGAAAACTACTCCATCCTCCTGTATCTCTCAGCTGCCTCCCATCCCCTGGAGACCAGCGCTGCCTCAGTTATCTGTGCACAGTCTGTTTCCTGGGCTACACAGCAATCTGCTCCTGTTACACTTCAAATGCCCAAGGTCAACTGCTTCTGTTTGCTCAGCACATTCGATGGACCCTCTGCACTGTACTAATTAAGCTCCACTTATTAACTCTCACCTAGTTCTGTGCATGATGCTCAGGGCTTTATATGCATTATCGCATCCAGTCCTCCCAGGCATCCCTTGAGTTACATACTATTATTATTTCCATTTTGCAGACACGCTAGGTAACCTGCCAAAGTCACATCCTAGTGAGAGGCAGAGCTAGGATTCCCAGCCACACAGGCTGACCCCGAAGCCTCCGTGGTCCTGCCTCCCAATTTCGATGAGCGACCGGATGCCAGGAACCTGTTTAGCAAATGCTGACGCGTCTAACAAGTGTGAGGTTTCTTAGCCCAGATGGACGGTCAGGCTTAACAGAAAGTGACGCATGAGCTCTTTGAGCCTTTCCTTCAACAAATGACAAAAACCTTCTTTCTTGGAGCCCCTCGAGGCACCCTAGGGATCTCTAAGTGGTGACAGAGTGCTGGGGAAACCTTGGGGGTTCCACACCAAGCTCTGGGCTGGGCGGGTGTCCAAGGCCAGGGTCAGGGAGAGCCTATGGGTGGGGCAGCCTCACCTGGGCACACGTACTCCTTCTTCTGCACGTCTGCCACGTTGAAGCCCCTCAGGTGCACGGGCGCCATGCAGAGTGTGAACTGGCCAACCGTCCGCCGCTGCCGCAGCCAATCCGAGAGCCAGGCCAAGTGGCAGTCGCAGTGCAGGTGGTTGGAGTGGAGGCGCCTGGGAGAGGAAGGGACAGAGGGAAGACACTGTCACGGGCTGAACGGAGGGGGCCAAACCTTTCTCCAGCGTGATACCCTCAGCAGCCCCGGGAAGCACGCCCCTCTGCGGGACTGAGTCACCACAGGAGTCTCAACCCTAATGTTGCTGAATCACAAACTACAGTCATTGCCGCATGCAGGCCCCGTCCCACGGCTGCCTCCTGGGTTCTGAGCAATTCACTGTTTCTTAATAGTCCTTCCACACTCTTCTCCCACCGAACCCCTCAAAGAAGCCTCAGCACAGGAGGGGAGCGTGGCATCATCACGGTGACAGTTCTGAGCGAGCCAAACTTCCACAGGGTGGCTCCTGTGCAGACGGCATTGCTGAAGCTATGATTATGAGTCATTGACGGCTTGAAACAGCGTCTCATCAATGCCACAGTCTATGGAGGCACTGGGCTGAGATCTGAGGTGCTTTTAGCCTTTCTTTCTCTCCCCAGGCGTTCCTTCAATGACCCCCTGCATGTAATCCCAGTGAGCCCCAAACCAATACCACTGGGTGCCCCATCAGGTTGAGCAGGGCCTGGAGAGAAGGTGTGCCCTCTCCACCCTCCTATTCCAATAGGGGGCTGTCCCCACCAGATGCCTGCAGTCTCCACAGCCTCTCCATGGTGCCCTGTGTCTGCCTCCCAGCCCAAGCCCCCCTGGCACACCTGCTACCCTGACTGGCTCAGGGACCCCTGAGAAGACCCCCCTAACCAGTTCCAGGACTCTGGCTTCTCCCTCTAGTAGCTGTGATTCCAGATCAGTTTCTCCTTGAGTGAATAAGAGACCAAAGAGCCGCCTGCAGGTCCCAATTCCAGGAGAATCCTGTCTGGTTAAATGTCCTGGATTTCCTTCCCACTAACTGGGGGCAAACTCAGGATGTGCAGGGGCTTCTAAACATCCGTCCCCAAGGTTTCTCTCTCAGGGGTTTCCAACCTGCTCGTTCCACCAGCCCAGGTCATTGGGAATGGTGGTAGGAGTTTAAGTCACATCACCTTGCCATACCCTTGGCTTTCCGATGCAAATGTCAAACACCAAGCCCTGGGCATGCTAATCAGCTGGCATTGTCGGGGACTTCCACTCAGTGTCCAGCCATGAGACTGAGGGCCAGCAGGAGCAGTGGCCAGGCCACATCTGCCTGAAGTGGAGAGAGCGGAAAGGTTCTTGACCACCCTCCACTTAGCGCAAGGTCAACATTGCTAACTGTTGGCCAATGGCAGCTCACTTGTGCCCCCCAGGGAAGCGAACCTCTGGCCGGTCAGGTCCAGTGGGAGTCTTGCAGGCTAGGGGGTCCACATCCCATCATACCAGATGAACTAAATGAATGTGATTCCCACATAGAATGTCATTTTTTTCTGCAGAAAATATTTTAAAAGATTTTTATTTTAAAACTAGAGGCCCAGTGCACAAAACTTTGTGCACTCGGGGGAGGGGAGGCGATGGTCCCTCAGCCTGGCCTGTGCCCTCTCACAGTCTGGGACCCCTCGGGGGATGACCACCTGCTGGCTTAGGCCCGAGGTGGGAAGCTTGGCTTCCTCCATCACTGGAGCAACCAAGCCTCCTGCTCGCTCCAGCTCCATGGCTGCTGGCCACCATCTTGGTTGGGTTAATTTGCATATAGTCGCTCTGATTGGCTGGTGGGCATGGCTTAAGGCATAGTGAAGGTATGGTCAATTTGCATGTTTGTCTTTTATTAGATTAGATGATTAATTTTGATGGTGCAATTTTCTTTTTGGACTCCAGAGCCAATAATTAAGGTCAAACACATTTAATAGGCTCCTAGGTCCAAGACACAGTGCCTATCATGGGCCCCAAGCAATTTTCCCTTTTGAGCTTAAAGCTCAGACACCCCCCTCCCACCGCCCACCAACCCCCATGCTGCTAAAGGCGCTCCAGAAAGAGATGCGACAGGTGGGAGGGGTTGGGGAGGCAAAGTCCTAAGTTGGGGAAGGACCTCAGTTTCAAGAGGGAATGCAAGACCACTGTCTATTCAACAAAGATGACCCCTTTGTGCCGGGACAGAGAGGGCCTGGCATGAGCTCGCAGGTCCCTCTTTCCTAAAGAGCATGAGGAGAGGGACTTCCTGGAAAAGGGCTGCATGAGTGACAGTGGTCTGTCTCCTGACCCATCAGCGAGCTGCCGGGAGAGAGCGGGGACTCCATGGCCACCCCCCTGCCCCCAAGGGTCTAGGCTGCCTGGGATGATGAAGTGGTGGTCTGCTGGGAGGCAGGTGGCACACACAGGCTGAGGGCCGGTCCTGGGTGCCAGGAGGGAGCCTTTGCGTGAGAGTTTGGCTTTCCTTAGGAAAGGCTGTGGAATGGAAGCAGAGGACACAGAGGTTCACGTTGAACCAACGAGAGTGGGCCCACGAGCCGGATCAATGAGAACGAATTCCTGTCGGTTCCAATCAGGGTAAGAGATCAATGCAAGAACAGAAATGAGGTTTAGGTGAGTCGGATCCTTGCTGAGCAGATTACTTTCTGAGATAATCAAAATGTCAGAGGTCCCCCTTTTGGAAGATTCAATTAGGTGGGTGCTGCCTGAATTCCCGACGGCCAGCCCCAGCCACCTCTCCCCTGAACCTTGCTCCCTGATCCTTAATCTGTCTTTGTAGGGGTCTCTCCTCTCCCAAGGGGGACCCTGGAGAAGAGGTGACCAAAAATGAAGCCACGTGAAGGCTCTTGTCAAAAGCCTGGGACGGTTGGTGGACTCAGTTTCCCCCCTGCTGCACTCTTACCCACCAGGAATGCTGGGAGAGCCCAGCTGGGCAGGCTTTTTCATGCCGCCCTTCATATCACGTTTGGGAGACCAGGTTGAGTAGTGTCACCCCCAATGTGAGCCTACGCTGCCAGGAGGAGTATTCCTCATCCTCTGGAGTGAGAAGGAAATGATTTTAATGACTTTCAATAATCTTGGTGGGTCGGGTCGGCAATGACATGGGGGCGACACAGAAGCTCCGGTCACCTGCCTTGGCCCATCTGGGACCTGTTCCTCTGCTGAACAGGATGCGCTCAAGCTCAGAGGTCACACTGCCTGGATGTAACACTGGCTCTGTGCTTTCTGACTGTGACTTGGGGGGGGGGAGGGCGATTTAACTCTGGGCCTCAGGGTTACCCTCTGTAAAATGAGGGTATTAACGATGCCCCCTTCCCAAGGTTGTTGTGAGGATTGAAATGATTCCTGGTGAGTGCTCAGCACAAGGCCTGGCACACTGTGATGTTGGAACAACTTATTATTGGGAGGAGATGAGCCTCAGACTCCTTCTCCCAACCTGGGGCCCTGCCCAAGGCATCAAGGTGGCTGGGTGCTTCCTGCACGTGGTTGCTCGGGCTTTGCTGATGGAAACAGCATACTCCAGGTCGGCAAAACCACCTTCACAGAAGATAAGGTGAATGGATACAAATGCCAATTTGTAATAGGTGCCTTTTAGCCACAGACGCTAAATTAAATTTCCAGCAAATCCTTTTAGAGGGAGTCAGTGTTCATTTTCTATAAAATGTGGCTTTCTGAATTCAATATAAAAGCTTTCCTTTAGAAATCCCATTTATGACTTCCTTCCTCTCTCCCCTCCCCCCTTCTCCGGCCCCAGCCCCCCACCCACCCCCTTAATCACAGGGAAGGGGATTAGTCAGCTCAAGTCTCCAGGGAGCTCTGCACAGAGCCATCTCTGAAATTAAACTAAAGAGAAAATGGCACAAGGCAGGGAGCAAAGGGAGCAGACGAGACTGATTGATTGATTTGAACTCATCAGATGAGTGTTCAGGACCACAGGGAAGGATGACAACAGAAACAAGGAGAATAAACTCTTCCATCCTCTTCCCAGACCCCATATCCCCAAACAAAGTGCCAGAGATCCAGACCTGGCCACTCCCTGCCCCCCGCCCCCCACTGTCCTATGGACCAAGCCCAACCTCCGCTACTGCTGCTCCTAAACTGAAGGTAACAAGAGGGGAAGCAGAAGTCACAGGGGAGCAGCCGCAGGAGCTGGCTGCTGATTTCTGCAGGGAAAAGCCATATTTCTCCTAGGCGACCCACTCGCCTGGGGACACAGGCCCAGCACCCTGAACCCACAGCCCCGGCCACACTCTTCTCCAGCCCATTGGTGATTTGATGGGGACTTTGAAAAGGTCTTTGAAGACCTAACGGTTTCTCCTTCAAACTCCATCAGTGCAGCGTCCCATTTTATTTTTATTTTTTTTTATTATTTTTTTTAATATATATTTTTTATTGATTTTTTACAGAGAGGAAGGGAGAGAGATAGAGAGTTAGAAACATCGATGAGAGAGAAACATCAACCAGCTGCCTCCTGCACATCTCCCACTGGGGATGTGCCCGCAACCCAGGTACATGCCCTTGACCGGAATCGAACCTGGGACCTTTCAGTCCGCAGGCCGACGCTCTATCCACTGAGCCAAACCGGTTTCGGCAGCGTCCCATTTTAAAAGCGGGGGAAAGGGATGGATTTTCTTGGCTGAATTATGTTATCATACGAGGGATCAAAGGAAGGGCTGGGGAACAATGATGGAATCTGGACTCGGATTCCTCTTCTTCATAACAACTAGTATTGGTTGAGTGCACACCATGACCAGACACACCTCAGTGCACTGCGTTCTCCCAACAGCTCATAGGCAAGCATTTCACTCGCTGTCTGTGAAGCACAGAGAGATGGAGAAACTGCACAGAGGAAGTGCCACCCCTTGCACTTACGCTCAGGTCTGCATGACTTCCAATCGGTGCCCTAGGACACTCCACATTGTTTCCTTACACATTGCTCCATTGGTCTCCGTTTAATTCCCACCTGAGATAAGGCCACATTCTCATCAAGGCAGGGGAGCCTCAACACTTATGAGCATTGAAAGCTCCTGGAGGGCTTGTGAAGAACAGATGGCGGGGCCCGCCCCAGGGAAATCTGATTCTATGGGGTTGGGGTGGGGCCTGGAGTTTGCTTTTTTAACAATTTCCAGGTGATGTTGGCCCTAGTAGTCTAGGGCAGCAGTCGCAAACCTTTCAGACCTCACGGACCGCCAGTGGTCCGTGGACCACCGGTTCGTGACTGCTACTCCAAAGGTTTCCTTAAACCAGCGGTTGCCAACCTTTCGGACCTCACAGACCACCAGAGGTCTGCAGACCACTGGTTGGCCACCGCTGGTCTAGGGACCCCACTTTGGGAACCACTGCTCTAAGGATTTTCAAACCTTTGTGGATTCCATGTTGCTTAGGGGCCATGGGTAAGCTAGGTGCTTAGTACTTGCAGTCCAGATCTCTGGCTAAGTAGTGATGATACTGATGACCATGATGATAATAATAATAAACCATTAATATCAGTTACTGTCCACTCCATGCCAGGCGCTGTACATTCACAGAGGAGGCAAGAGACGCCCCGGGGCTAACCATGTGTGGATCAGGTCATGGGGCAGAGGTAATGCACACGATGGAAGATGCTAGAGGGCATTTTCAGAGGAAGATATTGTGCTCGCCAAGAGCCCAAGGCAAAAAGCACCTGCTTAACTAATGGGAAAGGAGATCCTTCCACAGAACACCTCCTGTAGGCGGTGCTGTCCCTGGGCCCCCATGACCGGCTCCTGTAGGAGGGTGAGCCCGGGCTGTATGAGCCTTCAGCCTGATTTCCACGGTTATTCGGAGGTTGTCCATCCCCCTGGCTTCAGGAAGTCTGGCCCTGTGCCTTGGCCCTAAATGTATTTGGCTGAAAGCTCGTGGGGGCTGGCTCTCCCCTACAGCTGTGAGGCACGGACCACTGAGACCCACCAATAAGAAAAGCAGAGTATGAACCTCTTTGCAAGGCCAGCCGAGCTCAAGTGCAAAGAAATATACAAAAGGGGTTCTGGCTGAGTAGAGGGGGACCCTCTGGTAATAGGGACACTAAAGCTGCTCTCTGAATGAAGTGTTAGGGGAAGATTTGCCTCCTGAGTACACACCTTGGAAGGGATAAAGAACCAAGTTATTGTGTTCCAATGTCAGCTACCCTCTGGGGCAGGTGGGCAGGGCAGTGAGGATGGGGGGATGGGAACAGGGGAATGGGAACGAGGAGCAGCCAAGGCCCCCTCTCCTCCCCGGGCCCCAGAGGGAAAACTCTTGCGATCACTGGCAATGGGTAGAACCGCCAGGGGCATGACATTAGCTAAGGAGATGGTGAGTCATTGGGTCCCAGGTCTCTATGTTGTGACAAGGGAACACCAACCTACTTTCCCATCAAGATGGAAAACACAAAGGAGATTCCCACAGCCCAGGAAGGGTCCCAGGATGAAGAGCACGGGTCTGCCTGCTGTGGAGGGTGGGTCAGACCATAGATGACCCCCTGGTCCTCCCCTCCACCCCCGTGCCCTCGCTCACCAACACCCCCTCAGTCAACGGCAGAGGAGGCAGCATCTGGACAGAAAACCCCGCTGGCGGGTCCTAGCACGGGAGGTCTCACGGTAGGTCTTACCGGGCTGCGCTGTGGGCTGTGTGTCTGGGGAGCGGGGTGGGGCAGGGGGGAGGAGAGCGGGGAGCGTTACTCACAGGGTTCGGATCTTCGGCATGTGGTTGAAGCTGGTGACCAGGATGCGGCTGATGTTGTTGTTGTTGAGGGTGCTGCGGAGACGGAGGAAAAGGGACACGGTCAGCGGGGGCGGCCTGAGGGGCACTGCGACGCGTGAAGGCGGGAGGGAAGGGTGTGACTGCAAGAGGGACCAAGGATCCCTAGCCACGGGGCAGGGGGCAGGGCAGCCGGAGACAGGCGGACGGCTCTCCCTGTGATTAGGGAATCCATGACCCCTCTGCTGCCCACTCAGTGCTTACTGGCCCACCTGGAGCAATAGTATTGCTTCCTGAATCCCGACTAGGTGCTGGGTGCCCATGACAACAGCTCTCATTCCCACACCTACAATGCCAGCTGGTCTCTCTGTCCTCAGCTGGAGCAGGGGTGGGAACATCCAGCCCTCGGGCCGCAGAAGGCCCGAGGAATCATTTGGTCTGGCCCTGCTAAGGCAACTGCAGGCGGGACTCAGAATTCAATAAATCTAGGAGCTTTGTCCATAGCAACATACATTTATTAAGTGAATTATATTAAGGGAATGATGCTATAAATATCCAAATGGTCCTTGGCAGAAAAAAAGGTTCCCCACTCCTGTTTTACAGAGAAGGAAACAGATTTATATCGCTCAGTAACACACAGCCCTACAAGGGAGGCATTCCCCTAGTGTGAGAGACGAGGGCGCTGAGCTACAGAAAGGCAGGCCGACTTCCCAGGGACCCTGGCTGCTAAGCTCTGGAGATGGGACTTGAACCCAGTGCCATCTTGCTGCAGACCCCTTGCGTTGCCCCGTGCACCCACTGCCTCAAAGGATGCCACGTGGAGAGGTTATCCTGACTCCTCAAGCTCCTCTTATCCATCATAAGGGAGTCCGAGAGGCCAGGGGCTAGGTCTCCTCTTCCTGTGCGCGTCCATGCCGTGGCTAGCAACTCCGACAGCAGGACATTCGCACTGACTGGGTTCTTTGTAAGTGAAAGGAAAGGGAGAGATGTGAGCTTCACAGATGGGTCAGCATGAAATGAGGCTGCCAGAGAATGAAATCGGGCTGGAGGCACGTACGGCCGGTACTGGAGCCTGTCGTGGAGGCCCGGGGAAAGCACGGCCAAGGCACCGCCTGCAGAAAGTGTCCTCGGTCCGGCAGCCCAGGTGCGTTTAGCCTCGGGCTCTTGGCGAGCACACGATCTTCCTCTTAAAATGCCCCCCAGCATTCTCTCTCATGCTTTACTTCCGCCCCGTGCCCCGTTCCACACATGGCTCGAACTGTGTCTTATATACCCTAGTTGTGTGGTCTTGGGCAGATGATCAGTATCTCTTACCCACAGGTCTTCATCAGCAGACCTTAGTGGAGAGAATCTGGTCCTGCCTGGTCATTCCTCCCCCCACCCCCACCCCCTTGCCTCCCAGAAATAGAAACAGCTTCGTCCAGCACACAGCGGTCCCCATATCTGCCCCACCCAAGGGGCCCTGCACAGATCCCTTTCCCAGTCCCCGGTGACTGAGCTCACAGCAGGATCCCAGCGATCCATCTCCCTGGCTTCAGGCTGTTCCTCAATCCCCACCCCCAGCTCCCTTCATACTTGGCCTGTGTTTGGCCGATAAGGCCAGGGGGCAGTCTGTTTACACAAAGGCACAGAACCTCATACTTTTCCTCCCCTCCCTCCCATATTTATTATGTAGCTACCGTGTGTCTGGCATTATTTTAGGCGCATCACATGGTCAAAAGGAATGAACAGACCTGCTCGGTCCACTCTGCAACTCTAATAACGTGCCTTTTATGAAATCGAACCCACAGAGCTGCATGTTTTCCGTGGCTTATCTTTTCCGTGAGCGAGTGTGTGAGTCCATCCCATCTCCACCCACTCAGGAAGCCTTCAGAGCATCTCATCAGACAGGGCTGGAGACCCTGCCACTCCCATCTGACCGGCGCTCCGGCCTCCGCAGGGAGTTTCCTGGGGGTGGGAACTATGCCCCCCAACCCCTCTCCACCCGGTTAGAAACACCTTTAATGGCACCTTCGTTTCCCCTTCTATCCATCCCAGAGGTCCAGCGCCACTGCCAGCTACAGTCTGAGCATCCTCCATACTCTCAGAGGCAAAAGCAAGACGCCTCGGCAGAGAAGCAGCTTCCTTCCGGCCCGGCCCAGCTGCTCAGTGCTGCTGAGTTCACAGCCAGCCCTAACTTAGCTGAACAGACGTGCAGTTATACGCAGGGCTTCGACTAACTGCGTCCGGCAGCGGTCCGGCAGCGATGACTTATTAATGTCTTACTACACTGATATTTAAATGCAAGCCGTAATGAGGGCTATAAAACATTTACGATGATAGCAATTATTCCAGGACCAAGATGACTAAACACAGTGTTCAGACTTCCATGATTTGCTGTAGGGGGCTGGCCAGCCCCGGGTGGCGGAGGGTCGGCCACCTCTTAGATGCGGATCTCCAGGGCAGTTGGAGTTTCTGTTTCTCTAATAAACACAGATTTATTTGATTTCCAGCCTTGGTGGCCGTGGCCTGTGCAGGGAGCTCTGTGCTCCGTTTGGCTCGGGTGCCCCTGCCTAAGCAGCTGGCATGTGAAGGAGGCGTCGTGGTCCAGCACAGCGGAGTGGAGCGGTGAGCATGGCCTCGAATGCCCAGGCCTGGGTTAGGCTCTGGCTCTGCCACCTGTAGCCTGTGCAGCCCCGTTCCCTTAACCCTATTAGATCTCCTCCTTTATGACGTGGAGATAATCACAACAGCACTGGCTGCATACAGCCTGAGTGGTGATTAAAGGATATGATACTAATAACTGTCCGTATGGGCTGAGGGCTTATTGCATGCCAGGCCGGCGCTGGGCTACGGGCTCTAGCTGCGCCATCTCACTTAACCTCTCCCCCACCCTATGAGGCAGGCACTCTGTCATCATCTCCGTTTCCTGGATGAAGCAAGCAGTGGTACCAGGACATGAGTCCAGACAAGCCTGACGCCCCTATGTGTTGTCTACTGCTGCTGGAACAGGTTACCAATAATTTAGTGGCTTAAAACAACACAGATTTAGTCCTTATAGTCTGGAGGTCAGACGTCTCAAATGCGTCCAAGGGACTGCGTTTTTTTCCAGAAGCATCAGGAAGAGAAATTTTGCAGTCTGTACAGGCCACCCACATTCCCCGGTGCGGGGCCCCTTCCTCGAGCCATTCAGCCTCTGACTTGTGTCGCCCCATCTACTGTTCACTGTGACCTCCTGCTTCTCTCTAAGGAAGACCCTTGTGATGCAGGGCAGTTGGAGCCTCACCGGGTAATCCAGGCCCACCTCCCCCTCAGGATGCTCCATCCCATCTGCCAAGTCCCTTGCATCACAAGTCCCTTGGATCAGACAGGGACATCTCTGGGGGAGCATTATCGGCCAACCCCTACGCCCCTAAGATCGGCACGGAAAGCATGCTGGGTAGCACACTGCCAGGCACAGAGGTAATGTTATAACAATAGTGTGTTTAGTCCTTTACAGTTTACAACGCACTTTCACCTTCATTGCGTTTGACGCCAGCAGCACTTTGAAGTCGCAACTATGGCTCCCACTTTACAGATGAGCAGATTGAGGCCACGAGGCAAGGGACTGACGCAAGGCAGCACGTGAACTGCCGCAGGATTCGGCCCTCTCTTTACACCCCAGTTCCTCCCCACCTGCCCATGCCTCCTGCTTGCAGGGCGGGCTTTTTTCTCCAGCAGGGCTGTTCTCTCTCCACCAGGGACCCAAAGCTGGAGAGAACTGCACAAGCCTTGCACCGCCTCTCCTTCTATCAACCGCCTTAACAATTAACTGGCAGAAAAACAAAGGGGTCTGACAGTGACCCGCCCCCACTGGATGGCTGGTTCGGGCTGAGCCGTCCTGGCCTCATCGGCGTCACCCTATTTACCTCCACGTCCTGGATGAGTTTTGCCAGTTCCAGCGTCTGGTTTCTCCCTCCCTGCTCTGCTCCCGGGGAGCTACTCTGACAAGCTATGCTGTAACCCAAGTCATAGGCTTTCCCCCAGGTAAATGCTTTCGATTCAGCATTTTTCAAGTTCAGAGTCAAATTAATTGTATGAAAGTTCAGGACTGTACTGGCCTCCCTTTTTGCACCATCAGAAGCTACTGAATGGGCAGTTCAGTATGAGCCAGAGATAAGGCGCTTCCCCCAACAGGATTTCAAAGACAGGCCACCTGCTGCCCACTGTCTCCCGTAGAGCCCCTCCCCACGATAAACCCTCTTTACACTGAGACTGAGGTGGACCCGAGACTGTCTTGTTTCTCTCCTGTCTGGTCAGACGTGGAACATACATGCGTCATGGAGAGGGATCCTTTTCCTTAATAAAGTAACCCTTCTGGACAATGCTACTGCTACCAAAGGCTCCTGCTCATGGCTCTGAGCGCTAGAAAGAGGGTGTTCCGCCTTCTTTCCAGGGCCTGAGGGATGAGCGAACTTACTATCGCTTCTCCGGTGCACATATTAAACCTTAACGCCTGAAGAAGTGTGTGGTTCCCTGTGCCCCTCAGTGAAAGGCTGGGTCCTGTGGCAGGACAAGGCCCCCAGGAGTGGTGGGTGGTGAGGGAGTGGTGCACATCCTGGCCTGTCCAGGGCTTGGCCAGCTCCAGCCCCCGGGCCAAATCTCGTCGTCCACGGCCTGTTTCCGTAAATAAAGTTTCACCCTCTTGCTTACGTACCATCTGAGGCTGCTTCCGTGTCACATGGCTGAGTGGTTGCTACAGAGACCATATGGCCTGGAAGCCTAAACGAGTTGCTAAGTGGCTCTATTCGGACAGCGTTCCTTGACCTCTGGCCGCTTGCTCTGGGCAGAGTTCCTCCCGCCCCTGCCGGCACTGCAATGGGCTGGGCCAGTCACCTGGGTAGAAGGTCTCCCTGCGCCCAGACCTGTGAGGCTGATGGAATCAGAGCGTGGCAGGCTCCGCTCAGAGTCAGGCTGGGGCACCCACCTTGGGCTGGTGCAGAATGAACATGGTCCGTGGGTCCCAAAGTGTGGTGCCGGGCCTCCCAGACCCACCGGATCAGAAGCTCGGGGATCTCGGGGTGGGTGCCTTCTGTGTT